AACAAGAATCAGCGAACACCTAGAGGCAAACAAAGTCATTACCAAAAGCCAACATGGGTTTGTTAAAAACAGATCATGCTAGACACATCTTACTGCATTCTTTGACCCAATTACAAAATTAGTGGACTAGAGGAATGCTGTGGATATAATTTTCTTGGATTTCAGTAAGACATTTGATAAAGTTCGTATATGGTTTCCTGCCTGAGCAGGGGGTTGGACTAGATGACCTCCAAGGTCCCTTCCAACTTTATTATATTTTATTAAATGCAAGAATGAAATCTTTCTAGCAGATGAACTTAAAACATTCCTCCTGCTAACTTTTGGGCTTTTCTTAAGAGTACAGAGAGAGAAAGGAAGAAGAAAAACAAACAAATGAACAAACAAACAAACACTTTTTTTTCTTCACTCTGTTTGTTGGCCAGACAAACAGAGTGAGGAATTTCCTTTTTGTGGCTTATTTTAAGCAGAATTTCTAGCAGAATTTAAAATTCTTTTTTTTTCTTTGGATTTAAAACAGTTAACAGTCACATTTACCTCTCACACACAGACTTTGACAAACATATATACACAAAAACAAGAGAACAGAAGTCTTAGATTTACACAACCTAGTCATTCCCACCATAAGTTTCAGATAGCTCAAATTAGGGAAGGCACAGATCTTAAACATACCACGTGGTTGCATAGAGAAGAGAGAGAGAGAGAGAATCACTATTTCTTATTTTCCCTTTTAAGTACCTTTATTTAGCCAAATTGGTTTCCCAGCAAAGCCCTAAGCAAAGTCTATTTTTTTTTAACATACAGTTTCTTTACTTATCTCTTTTTTCATAGCTGCCTGAACGGGTAGCTGATTCCCATACCAGGCCTCAAGCAAGCTCTCAACCGGGGAACCGATCTCAGCCCTTGTATTGGGCACTATACACCGGAAGCCTCCTTGTGAGACTTCCTCCTTCCACCACAGTTTTGTGAGTCCAAAAAGGGGACTCACAGAGCACTCTGGATCCCTCTCAGAGTACGTGGGCTCCTTGAGGGATCCCCCACGTTTTCAGACCAAAAGGGGGTCTGTAGAGACACTTCTGGTTTCCCCNCTGACTGCGGACCTGGATATTGTTAACTGGCTGCTTCAGAACAGGTCATTTGGAAAAGTGATGTTTGGCAGCCTACTAAAACAGGGATCCCTGGATTTCAAGTTTATGGTCAATCAAAAGAGTGTGACAATGATGGATGAGTTAGAGAAGGTGAGGTGAATCTCTATTTCACTTTTTGTGAATCTCTTAACAACAGATTTGCTTTCTGGGGAGAGAGAAAGGTTTTGGTCTCCAAACTATAAAAAAGATGTTGAAACTCTAGAAAAATGCAGAGAGGAGGAACAAAGAAGACTGAAAGTTAAAACATATGAAGAACGTTTACAGGAACGGGACATGGCTAGTCTAGTGACGAGAAGGACTAGGGGAGACATGATAGCAGTGTTCCAATATTTGAGGGACTGTCACAGAGAGGAGGGGGTCAACCTATTTTCCAAAACACCTGAAGGCCAGACAAGGAATAACAGGTGGAAACTGATCAAGGAGAGGTTCAACCTGGAAATAAGGAGAAATTTTCTGACAGTGAGAACAATCAACCAATGAAACAGTTTGCTTTCAGATGTTGTGGGAGTTTCATCACTAGAACTTCCAAGAAGAGACTGGACTGCCATCTGTCAAAAATGGTGTAGGATCTCCTGCTTGCAGGGAGGGGTTGGGCTAGATCAGGGCTTTTCCAATCTAGCTGTGAGAAATATACCTTTAATTCTTTAAGGAAACTATTTACTAGTCTTCTATGAAGGGAGGTACACTTGAGCCAATTTAGGTTTGAGTTCATTTCCCCAAAGGAATAAAGAATCATAAAATTTTACCTTGAGCAATTGAATATATAAACAAAAAAATGAAAGAGAAAAAATTAGAAAGAGAAAAAGAAAAGAAGGAAGGAGGGAAGGGAGGGAGGGAGGGAGAAAGAGAGAGGGGGGAAAGAAGGAAGGAAGGAAGGAAGGAAGGAAGGAAGGAAGGAAGGAAGGAAAGAAAGAAAGAAAGAAAGAAAGAAAGAAAGAAAGAAAGAAAGAAAGAAAGAAAGAAAGAAAGAAAGAAAGAAAGAAAGAAAGAGAAGGAAGTAATATGCAACAAGTGGATTGTTGAGCTCTTTATATAGGCTTTCAGTCTAACAAAGTTAAACCTTGAAATGGAACCCCTCTGGAAATTAAATCATAAATCATATTCTGGATGGTCTTCCTCCCTCTGCTTAGCCTCTGCCTCAGTCCAAGTGTGTGGAAAGATGCCATCCTGGATTCATGAAAGTGGCCCAGGAAGGGAAGCCCATCTGCTGCTACAGCTGTCTTCCCTGTGCAGAAGGAACCATCTCTACCATGGAAGGTGGGTGGCATTGGAGGAAAGGGGAAACTTTCCTTACTGGGAAGACTACATACCCCAACATTTTCCATGAGAGGATTTCCCGCTTAAGCAGGAGGTTGGACTAGATCAGGGCTTTTCAACCTTTTCACCCATTGTACCACTTTTAGGATAAGGCAATTTCCGAGTACCATCAGTCGCCTAGCAAGGTGTCAAAAACTTGATGACCCAAAAAAAAAAAAGGAAAAAAGTGATAAAGTACAGGTAGTCCTCGACTTACAACAGTTCGCTTAGTGACTGTTTGAAGTTAAAATGGCACTGAAAAAGTCCCCCCAAGGCACAGCCGAGCAAGACACCTGCCTGCCCATCTGGTGGCGCTCTTCCTCCTGTCCCAGGTTTTCATTGTTGCGAGCATTTCTGTTGAGGATTGGCAGCAGGGGTGGGGTGGGGGTGTTTGGTTTTTATTCCCCCCATCTGCTGGGTGGTTGCACCAGGTTTTGGTTACTTCACATGACCCTGGGACACTGACCGTCATAAATAGGAATCAGTTGCCAAGCATCTGAATATAAACCATAAGACCCTGGAGATGCTGCAACATTCCAGCTGATTGGCGCTTCTTCTGGGCTCAGCAGAAGCACCAGGATCAGCGCCAAGCTCCAGCTGGAGCCTGGCGCTGATCCTGGCGCATCCACTGAGCCCTGACAGTCCTGCAGCTCCAACCATCTCTCACTCAGACTGGTGTGGTGTTGCCTCCAGTTCAGCTCATTCCCCTCCACTACCACTTTTCTAGGATGGTCACGTACCACCTGCCAGGTGCCAATGTACCATAGGTGGTACCCGTACCACTGGTTGAAAAGCCCTGATATAGGTTCTTCTGCTTGAGCAGGGGGCTGGACTAGAAGACCTCCAAGGTCCCTTCCAGCTCTATTCTATTCTATTCTATTCACATTCACATTCACATTCACATTCACATTCAGAACCAGGTTACTTTTATTGCACCAGTTCACCAGGACCTTCACCTCTTCCCTATAAACATCTTCATTGTCATCCTGGATAAGACCCACCATTGATGTGTTATCTGCATACTTCACAATATGATTCATAGCAGATTTGGCAAAGCAGTCATGGCTCATCAACGTGAACAGTAATGGACTTGAGACACAGCCCTGTGAGGAACCAATACTCAAGGAGATGGAAACTTTTCTTCCAACTCACACAAACCGGGGGCCTATCAATAAGGAAATCAACTATCCAGTTGCATAAAGGAATATTAAATTCTAAAAGGCCCAGTTTGATGTCTACAGAGGGGGAAAGAAGCAGGGAAAATTACAAATAAGGACAATGATAGACCAGTCAATAAATTCACATCACCACAACTTAAACTGGAAATTCCCTTTCAAAACAATCAGACTTGGAAGGGAAAATTGAACCATTAGTCCATTGCTTTGCCAAATTAAGCTTTATCAACAGCTGGCAGTCACACAACACTTGAACAGAGGATTTTAGCATTTAACAAAACACGAATCTTTAAGGTAAATGTTATTCTTGCTCTTTTTCAGATGCAGAACAATGCAGCAATTGTCCAGAAGATCAACATCCAAATGACAACCAAGATAGTTGTATCCCTAAGATTAAGACTTTCCTATCGTATCAAGAAAAAATAGGTGTTATCCTAACATCCATTGCCTTGTTCCTCTCTTTAGTCACATGCTTTGTCTTGGGAACCTTCATTAAATTCAAAGAAACTCCCATAGTCAAAGCCAACAATCGGGACCTCTCTTATATCCTCCTTGTTTGTCTCCTGCTTTCCTTCTTCACTTCCTTCTTGTTCATTGGCCAGCCAAGGAGATCCACTTGCCTTCTTCGACAAACAGCCTTCAGCATCATCTTCTCTGCCGCCATTTCTTCAGTCTTGGCCAAAACCATCACAGTAGTGCTGGCTTTCTTGGCCACAAAACCAGGGAATCAAGTGCAGAGATGGCTGGGAAAGAGTTTGGCCAACTCCATTATACTTTCATGCTCTGGTTTTCAAGTTGTTCTCTGCAGCATCTGGTTGGGTGCTTTCCCGCCATTCCTTGAGTCTGACATGCATTCACAATCTGCAGAAATCATCCTACAGTGCAATGAAGGCTCTGTCACCATGTTTTATGGGGCCCTTGGCTACATGGGCTTTCTGTCCACCATCTGCTTCACAGTGGCTTTCCTGGCCAGGAATCTGCCTGGGGCTTTCAATGAAGCCAAGTTGATCACCTTCAGCATGCTGGTCTTCTGCAGTGTCTGGGTGTCCTTCGTGCCCACATATTTGAGCACCAAAGGGAAGTATATGGTGGCCGTACAGGTCTTCTCCATCTTGGCCTCCAATGCAGGACTTCTGGGCTGCATCTTTATCCCCAAGTGTTTCATTATTTTCCTAAGACCAGATCTGAATACAAAAGGACATGTGATGTCAAAATAGAAACATGAGTTTTGGTAAATATGTTCCAAAAATTCAGCTAATAATTCTGACAAGTAACCTTTGACATTTTAATGTTTCCCCTCCCCCCCCAAAAAACCCCTCCTGAAACTCCAATTGTTTTCAAGTCATGGTAGGGAAAGTTTTTAATAAATATAATTTCACGTTTTCTCTTTCCAATCAAATCCATAGAAAATTATGTGTTCATGAATGCTTGTCATGCCTCAGAGGCAGGTTCAAGGATGATTTGTATATTACCTAGAGCTTTTCCTATTGATTCAGCAGACAGTAAATCAAGCACTGATGCCCTTTTAGATCCTTCCCAAGTGAGCATTAATTCATCTTTGGGCGACCACAAGGACATACAGTACAGGGAGAGAGGAGTGAATGTCTCGGCGGTACAACACATCCCTTGGGGGCTCCCTAAGGATCGTCATTTTTCAGCTGTTTTGGGGAAGTCTGCCTGGGTTCCAGACAGACCGGAGCCATCCTGTAGGGACAGTGAGGAAGGGAAGCATAGTTTGGCAGCACAGGAGAGATCACAATCTCCTGGAGAGCTGACGTAAGCTTCCCAGACCAGCAGCTGTCAGACGGCCATTGCGAGCTATCACAAGCCAGGAGGTTGCTTAGAAGAATCAGAAAGCAAAATTGGAGGATTGCCTGGGTGAGCTGATTAAGAGACTGTAAAAGGGGGGGAAACTTTCTCTCTTAAATGCTGGAAATTGCGGGGGGAAATAAGAAGAATTTGAAGCCATGGAAAAAAGGGGGGAGCGGGTTTTTAAGCTGCTCCTGGTCCTCTTCTGGAACTTCAGCAGCAAAAAAAGTGGAAGGCAAAAGAAGGCAATAAATCAATAAATCAATGTAAAAACAGTGTGGAATTTAAAAAGCCTGCTGAAAACAATTGGACTGATGGAAATGATTTGAGAGTAAACAACTACTGGAGGTGTAGATCGTTCTTTTTTTGTGAGTTGCCTCTTTTTCTTTTGGATTTTTCTTCTTGTATTTGACTGGGAGCACTTTGGAAGCAGGGACATGACTTGCAGTTGGGATAGCATGCTTTCATATGGTATGGGAAAAACAGAATACATAGCTATTTCCAGAGACACCATATAAGGAATTCTTTATTCATGGTCTGGGAGAAAATAAAGAGAAAGCATTATTTGAAGATTCCAAATTGGCTCTCAACTACGGAGGCACTAATACACCCCAATATGCTTAATATGGGAAACATTATAAGATATAAAAACTTACTAACAGATACGGGGGGAGTTGAAAACCAAACAACAATTAGAGGAACAAGGAATAAAGATGGATTGGTACGCGAGAACGCAAATACAATATAGATATGAAAAAGATGTTAAAATAGATGGTATTAACTTGGGGACAACAAAGTTAGATGAAATACTCACAGGAACGGAAGAAAAATGGATAAAAAAATGTACAATTATCTACTACATATGGAGTTAGAGGAGGGACAAGTGAAACAGACAATGATAAAATGGACAAGGAATTTTGGATATACGATTGAATTAGATAGATGGCAGCAACTATGGGAAAGAAACTATAAACTGACAATAGAGACTGCGTATAAAGAAAATATGTACAAAATGTTTTACAGATGGCACATGTCTCCAGAAAGATTAGCTAAAATGTTTAAGGACAGATCTATGAAATGTTGGAAATGTCATCAGATACCATGTTCCTTCTACCATATGTGGTGGACGTGTGTAGAAGCTAAAACTTATTGGAATATAATTAGAACATGGATAGAAAAGGTGATACAACAACATATAGAACTAAGACCAGAAATATTCCTGCTGGGTATTTTACCAGGGAAATATAATAAAGAGAAAACATATTTGATTATTCATATAATTACAGCAGCCAGGATTGTGTTTGCACAAAATTGGAAAGCACTGAAAGCCCCCACAGAGGGAGAGGTGATTGGGAAAATACTGGAATGTGCAGAAATGAATAGACTAACAATGACAATTAAAGATAAGACAGAGTCAGAGTACTATGAAATCTGGGGAATTTTTTGATTGGCTGAAAAAAGAATACGGTTAAAAGATAGTTAAATACCAGTTTAGATGGAAGAAAAAGGAGGAGATAAAGAGGGAGACCCAGGCCACACAGTATTGGATAACCAGAGGTCGTACAAATATTTATAGAAGTATATACAGAGACGGTCAGATAAATAGAAGTATTAACATAATAGAAAATCAATCTTATTATATATATAATACAGATAGGGAAATTTAGAGAGAGGAGTTGCCGGGACATTACCCCTGAATTGTATCTGAAGAGGGATGAGAGGGAAGAAAGGAGAGGAGAGAGAGAAGAGAATAAAGGAGGGGGGAATGAAGTAGGAAGTTTGGAGGAGAAGAGGGGAGAAATGGGAGGGGAATGGTGAAGGAAAGAGGAGAAGAGAGGAAGAAGAGGGAAGTAGGGAAGAAAGAGAAGAAAGGGAGAAAGAAGGTAGAGAAGAAAGAGTAGGAGTGTGGGTACAGTGAAAGGGGAAATGGGCGACCAACACCAAAATTTATGTGTATGTATTTATTTTATTAAAAGTATCTGATAGATAAGAATGTAAAAAGAATGTATGTTAACACATGGTAAATATCACGGTATATGTATGGGGGAGAGTTGGGGAAAAAATAAAAAAGTTTAAATGAAGGACAAACAAAAAAAAAATCATCTTTGGCCAACATGAATGCCTAGAAAGAGGGATGAATCACCCAGCTTGAGAATCCTTCACTCCATCAAAGTATCTCATGAGTAAGTGGCAAGATTCTGGTCCAGGATACTCTCTACCTGCAACTGAATCAGGGTGTGATCTCACCATAGCTACATGGTGGTGGAAATCTTAAACATATGCTCTGAGATAAAGAAGACGTCTAATGTATGACTATCTCCATGTGTCTGGCCTGAGATTCCATGAGAGAAGCCCATCCTTGTCAAGGAGGACAGACTCCTGATCTTTATCAGATCTCTTATGCAGGTTGAAGATCCCCAGCACAAACCAGCTCCAGCAATCTAAGAAAGGGTACCACTGGATAGCTAGGCAGCTGTAACAACAGTAGGATATTTGTCCCCACAGCCCACACTAACATATTATAGAATTACAGAACAGAGTTGAATCTTGACACTCTTGGCAGCCCAACCAGGAGACCCTATACCCATGGTGGCGAACCTATGGCACGGGTGCCACAGGTGGCACGCAGAGCCCTTTCTGTGGGCATGCGCGCCATCGCCCCAGTGCTAGGGCTTCAGCTGGGTTTTATAAAACCTTTTCGCTTTAGGTCTCTGCCGCCTTGTGCAAAAAAAAAAAAAGGTTCAATCACTCAATCAATTTCAACTTCTCGCAGGAAAAAAAAGATCTCGCAAAATTGGAATTGATTGATTGAACTTTTTAGTCCCACCCAGTCTGCCGTTACCACCGCAGCCACACCCACCCAATGGGCCACACCTGCCCGGCACCCGACAATACATAAGTGGTTTTGGGTTGCAGTTTGGGCACTCGGTTTCTAAAAGGTTCACATCACTGCCCTATATTAATCCAGACAATGGTTATCCAATCTCTTCTTAAAAACCTCCAGTGATGGAGCACCCACAACTTCTGGAGATAAGTCGTGATTGTTCTCACTGACAGGAAATTTCTCCTCAATTCTACATTGGATCTTCCATCTGTCACTTCTTATTCTGCCCTCAGGTACTTTGAAGAATTGGTTGGGCCCCCTCCTTTCCGTGGAAGCCCCTCAAATATTGGAAGACTTGCATCCTGTCACGCTAGTCCTTCCCTTCATTAGATTAGACATACCCAATTCATCATATGTTTTAGCTTCCAATTGTTCAAGTCTGTCTAACAAAGAACAATAGTTTTTAATGGTAATTAAATGTCAAACCTAAAACCCAGATCTTGATTAATATTATGAATACAAAATCCTCTGCCTCAGGATATGTTTTGTGATTTTATAAGGTATAAGAAACAAGACCTCAATGAAGAGAAACGCCTTTTCTGGTTCTCATATTGAGCTACATTGGAAGAAGGAGCAACTCCTTGGCTATTAAAAAAATAAAGCTAAAATCCAACACAAAATCCAAGACCAATCAAATCCATCTTTATTTGTGACTACTGATACCACACATGCTGAAACTCTGCCTCAATTGTGCATTTTTAAAAAAATGATTTCCAAGAACTTTGGAGGCCAATTGATTCATTTTGAAATTTTGAAGTTCATCTGCAACTTTTCTCTTTGGGTATCAACTTCACCTGGCTTACTGCAAACTACCAGCATTTTAAGGGTTAAATTTGGAGCCAGACGGTAGTAGGGGTAAAGGTAATAATAATAATAATAATAATAATAATAATAATAATAATAATAATAATAATAATAATAATGATAAAGTTGGAAGAGACCTTGGAGGTCATCGAGTCCAACCCCCTGCTCAGGCAGGAAACCCTATACCATTTCAGACAAATGGCTGTCCAGTTTCTTCTTAAAAACTTCCAGTGTTGGAGCATTCACCGCTTCTGGAGGCAGGTTGTTCCACTGGTTAATTGTTCTAACTGTTAGGAAGTTTCTCCTTAGTTCTAGGTTGCTTCTCTCTTTGGTTAGTTTCCACCCGTTGCTTCTTGTCCTGCCTTCAGGCGTTTTGGAGAAGAGCTTCACTCCCTCTTCTTTGTGGCAGCCCCTGAGATATTGGAACACTGCTCTCATGTCCCCCATCATCCTTCTCTTCATTAAACTAATAATAATAATAATAATAATAATAATAATAATAATAATAATAATAATAATAATAATAAAAGTTGGAAGAGACCTTGGAGGTCATCGAGCCCAACCCCCTGCTCAGGCAGTTAACCCTATACCATTTCGGAAAAATGGCTGTCCAGTTTCTTCTTAAAAACTTCCAGTGTTGGAGCATTCACCGCTTCTGGAGGCAGGCTGTTCCACTGGTTAATTGTTCTAACTGTCAGGAAGTTTCTCCTTAGTTCTAGG